GCTTCTGCAAAACAGCCGTGGCCCTGCGGTCAGCTTCTCTCCAGCTCTTTCGGCAATGTGCATGGCCCCCCATGTGCCTGCCAGGGCCGGGGCCGGAGCAGCGAGGGAGACCAGGCCACGCTCCTGCAGAGCTTTGCCTTTACGGGCACTGCGCAGCCATGCAGCACCCTGGGGCCAAATACACTCGTTTTGAGGGCAAAATGCTTCAGAGAAGCCTGCTTGGGAAATGCGTAAAAACAGGGCACATTTTTCCCTGATTTTTCCCCTCTCCCCCAGCACCAAAGTGGTTTGATGGGCAGCGCTCGACCCAGAACAGGCAGGGCACCCTGGCTGAGTACTGCTACACGCTGGTCAACCTGCCCCACAAGATCTCCCGGTGCCTGCACGTGGTCGACTTCTTCAAGGTCCGTCCCGATGACATGAACCCTGTCACAGACAGCCAGTGAGTCCAGCTGCCTGCAGTTTTGCGGGAGATCCTGCATCCCCAGCCCCAGGTGCTGGCGGCTGCCCACGGGGAGGGCACCTCTGCTGGCGGTGACGGGTGGGCGGCATTGATCTGCCTTTGCTCTGACCCGTCCAGGATCAAGAAGCCCGAGGTTTTCCTCCTGCCGAAGGATGCCAAGAAAAACCCCTCTGGTAAGAGGCCTCAGAGGGGTGACAGCAGCTGCCTCGGCAGCAGCAAAGCCCAGCAGACAGAGGAGCAGCCATCCCATGGCAGATGCCCTGACCAGGAGCACAGTCTCTGTGCCAGAGCTGCAGGGCAGGAAACCAGAGCCTCAGGGGGAATGAGTCCCTGTCCTGGGATCTGGCTGGTTTGGGACCAGAAGAGGCTGGGAGAGCAATTTGGGCTGTCCTGGGGCTGCTTTTGGCCTGGCTGAAACAGGGTATTTCTGTGCCGGGGGCTGGGAGAGGGAACATCTCTCACTTCTCCCACGCAGACATCACGGGCCCCATTGTCCTGCAAACATACCGAGCCGTCGCCGACTACGAGAAGAGCTCCAGATCTGAGATGGCTCTAAAAGCCGGGGACATGGTGGATGTCGTGGAGAAGAGTGAGAGCGGTATGTGTCCATCCCTCCAGAGAGCCCTCAAGGTCCAGCCACCTCCTGGCCACCATTTCAGCAGGGACAGGACCTACCTTTGCATCTCGCGTCCAAACGCAGCGCGCGAGCTTGTTGTGCCGGTGCGTGGGTTAAAGAGTAGGTGGTTGCATCAGGGTCTCCTGATGGAGAGGAGAGGCTCAGAGCAAATGCAACCGGCAGCACCAAACCTTCCCACCCCCTTGGGACATGTTTCACATTCACATGGAGCCACATGACAGTTGGTTTTGGCCGGGGAGGATGTGGGGCAATCCTAGAAAACAGTGCAACCTCCTCACACGCCTCAGCCTGTGAGGTTTCCTGCCCAGAAGGAAACAGGATGAACTGGCCAAGCTCCCTGGTTGCACCATGTAAACAGAGACTGGCCCCGGCGCCGTCCCTTCCGTCCAGGCCACGTGGATGCCTGCGCCTGCCCCGGCCGGGGACAGACCCGGTGCCCCCACGGTGCCCCCGCAACACCCTCTGCTCTTGCCCACGGCTGCTTTTCTTGCAGGCTGGTGGTTTTGCCAGTTGAAGAATAAACGGCTGGGGCCCGGCTGCCTATCTGGAGCCGATGGATGGCCCTGACGAGTCTGAAGAGCAGGAGCCCAACTATGCAGGTAAGATGTTGGGGCGAGCAGGGTGTGCACCAGAGCACAGCCTGCCACTGCTCCCTGCTGGGACGGTTCATTGCAAGGCCCCCGTTGGGCAGTCCACGCTGCAGCAGGACGGCTGGACACAGAGATGTTGCTGTAGAAGCCGCCAGGAGAGATAAATGTCATAGTTCAGTGCCTTAGTCTCAACCTCAGGAGCTTCCCGTGACCTGCAACTCAGCATTAGATGCTTGATTTGGCTGATCACAGATGCACATCTTCATCCAGAGGCTGTCCTGAGCTAGCTGGGTGAATGC